TGGATTAAAGATGAGGTCTTGGAGGCACCCCACCAAGTAATGGCAGAAATTGCTAGAACCACTAATTACTAGTACTTCATCAAGTCTTTCTACTTCTAAGTATTTAAAATGAGTTACAAGTACATGTGTGAATATAATGTAGTGTGAAATACTAAATAAACTGTTAAAGAGAAAAAGAGGTATATTGGTACTTGTCTTCAACCATCCTCACCTACATTCTGCATGACAAAGGTTAACCTGTGCCCTTAGCATCCACCTCCCCTTCGATTACACAGCAGGTAACACCAGTAAGTAGCTAAGCAACAAGGCGGAGTGCAAGATGGCTTCAATATTTACTGGAATAGTATCACTGCATTGTCATTCCATGGAAATTTGACTTGCCTTAGCATACTAATATACTCCAGAAAAAGTTTTATGCAAAAACTGAATGAATTGTTTTTTCAAAAATTAAAGTTATGTCCTAAGAGAGACAAACATCACTTCATTTTTACCAACCTTGTTTAATAGGTGGGATTATTATGCTTTGTTGGCACTACAAATAATTGCTATATATAATTTAATATGTCCAACAACATCTTGTAGGTCACTGTGGTTATTACTATGGATCTAGATAATTAAAATAGAATGAAAAACCATTATAACCCAGAAGGGCAACTATAGGGTTCCCTCTAAATCTATGAAATACTGGAATTGAAAATGCTTTGTGCATCATCTGTGACCAATGAAAAGACCTTTCCATAATTTTAGCTGTAAGTTGACCCAAAAAACAAATCATAACACCTAGAAGATGATAGCTGCTTAACAAACCCAAAAAGTCTGAACAAATTTAAATTAAATCTGAAGACATGCATGCAAGGGCACTGAAGACAATCTGAAATATATTAAAGATCTACTCTCCTAATTAGATGATCTACTTATTCATGGAATACACCCAAAAAGATAAATAGGTTATTAAAATGCATGTTTCCCTTTACTGTAAATTCAAGTACCTCTTCCTTTTGGAGAGTTAATGGCATAAATATTATCATTATTTAAGAAAGCTAACTGAATACATTAGTGCTTTGATAGAAAACTACCAAACCAGCAGACAGTAAATTACAAACAAAACTAACATCTTATATTTCAGAAAATGTTTTAAATTATTCCATCTACTATTGATAAGTAATTATTACAAATATTTTTATCTACACGTAATTATTATCCTCCTCAGGAGAATGTTCTCAAAGATTCAAGAAACTGTAACTTCTTCACCTTCGATAATTCAAAAAAATTAGTAAGACATTAGAAATTTTAAAATTATATAAAATTTAATATTCATATATTTTATTATGTTTTTAAAAAAACATAGCAAAAATACATTTTAATAAATCTGTTTTTCCAGGGAAAGGACATATAATTTATAAGTCCTACACTTAAACAAATATAATTAATTATTTTAACATTTAAGTTTAAAGAAATTATCCTAGGCCATGCTTGTCAGGGGAATAAAAAAGTGATTTGGCCAAACGCATAGACCATAAAGTTGTACATTACTGGCAAAACTGTGTGCCCAACTGTAAAAGCAGAGACTCTTTCCTTAGTATTTTTCTTTAAATAACGTATGGCTTATTAATTATTTGATAGTTTCCTTTTGAGTTAACCAGACTTGATACAAATTCTTTCTTTGTAATTTTCAAAACTTCTGAGCCTCATGTGTGTGTGAATGGCTGTGTATGTGTGTGACAGAGAGAGAGAGAGAGAGAGGGAGGGAGGGAATCCAAAAATAATAACTGCTTAACAGAAATACAAAGGTCAAAGACAGTGTCACAGTAGCCAAATCCTGGCATTTGTAGACACTTAGTAAAACATAGTTTATTGTTATTACTGATATTCTTTCATTATCACTGTCATTATTCTTACTGTTACATTAATGAAGTTAAGGAACCTACATACCATAGGAGAAGAGCTTTATTTCTACTGATGGTAAGAGAAACAAAAATAAATATATAAATTCACAGTCATTAAGAAACAAAAACCTTTTTTTAAAATTCCTTAAAGAAACATAATTGAGTCAATAAGCATTATATTAAAGACCTATAAAGTACCAAGCTTCTGTGTGGGTATATGGGATGGGGAAGTGGGTGATTTGGTTTTTAAATTAAGACTTAGAGAATATGAAATTATTTGAGAAACATTAAAACTTTAGGATTGAATTTTATATAATTGCTAGTTAAGGCTTGGTAGTGTAGACCAAGAGTATAAGAAAGAAGTAGGATAAAATCGGCTGGAGAGAAACAAACAAATGCCCCGCAAAATAGCAGTATAAGGAAGCAGAAACTTAGAACAACTGGAAATGAAGACAGGTGTTAAAAAAAAAAAAAAGGCCTAGATAAATGAGTTGCCCCAAAATCACAGCTTAATCTTCCTTTGAGGTACATTACTCTAGAAGATTAGTGTTTACACTTTCTGCTAGTGATTTAGCGATTCTTCGGTTTTCTTTTTTTACTGCCTAACTCATAATACCAGAGTCTTCTCTCCTAATGGGCTAACTAGTGAAGGTTATGGCCAGAGAAATTACTTCCTGGGTTGCAGTAACAGTTATCAGGGCAGCTGTCTTTCCAAAGGCTAAAAATAAATTAATCTAAAATCCAGATTTTGTCTCTAAGAGTTACATGTTTCCTTCTTTCTCTTCACATTTTTATTTAATACAAGCTTTTCCTTCACTTAATTGTTGGACTGACCACCAACCTTTCCCATTCTGTCTGTGAAACACACTAGCTGTGCTCACTGCACCGTAACTGCTCAGAGCTCTCAGAGGAAAACCAAGTAGACCAGCACAGGCTACTCTCTCCAGCCAAGGTCCAGGACTACAGAGTCACCAGTAGTCCTGGACCTAAATCTTCTTATAAGCCAGATGTGTTTGCTATTGTAATGTAATTTAAGATTAATCAAGGTGATGAAATATGACTGTGACAAGGAAAATTGCTGTCCATAAAAATTAAATTCATGCCATGGAAAGGTAGGAAGATCATCTGCTGAGTGACTGAAGTTCTTGTTTGGGATGAAAGAATACACAAAATTGAAAATGTAGATGATGCATTACCGGTATAGCTGTGCAAGAAAAATGGTGTGGATTCCAATCAACAGTTATATAAAGAAAAGGCATGGCCTTATATAAAAAGAAGAGCATGGGAATGCAAATGCACTGATAAGTCAAAATAGAATACTAAAGATAAGCCAGTCAGAGAAAAAAAGTATCACATGATCTCACTTAAATGTGGAATCTAATGAACAAAATAAACAAACAAAATAGATCCAGAGACATTGAAGCATAGAACAGATTGATGAATTTCAGAGGGAAGGGGGGAGGGGAAATTAACCAAAGAACTTATATGCGTATATGCACAGCCCATGGA